TATTTAATATGAAATGAAGGGAGTAGTTATCAAGGGAGCAAATTGGAGGACATTCATTGTACTCCATATTCAATTAATTATGAGTGCAAACCTATATTTCGGTAAAAACTCCCCTCTCATCCTCTTCTCCTCTATGGTTTAATATTTTTTAGCCGTAGTTTGGTTTCTTCGTAAAAGAACAAATATATTAATTTGGATGTGAGTCAGCTGATTTAGGGGTGCAAGTTGGTGGGTGTTGACGGTGGTGCAAAGTAAGGAGAAAGGGCTAAGTGTTTGCCTGTTTGGATGTGAGTGGAGCTGCAGCCGAACAAGGAGCTGGTATGGTGGGGGAGCTAGGGAGGATTACCTCGGTGGCTGGCGCCTCGCGGGGGAGGGGGGGCTGCTACAGTGGGGAGGGGATTATTTTTAAAAATAACTATTTTTAAACAACTTTAACTGTTAAAATAAAATTAAAAAATTCTAACAAATTACAATGCGCCACGTATTCGGTTTAACGTATTTAACAGGTTAGTGATTTAATTTATTCTACTTTGAGCAGATACCCCCAAAGGTTATATTATTTTAAGATAATTAACAGATCGTTTAATTTCTAGAAGACTAGGCAAATGTTGTATTATTCTTGACAATGTTTCCTATAAGTTATTTGACCTTATTCATATAGTTTTTAATCTCTCGACTTTTAAAGTTTAGATATAATAAGTTTTTTGGACAATTCATATGAGTATAAAGGTTTTGAGTGTTTCATACAAATTATTTGACATTTATATTGATTTTGGGTGGGTGGAATCACGGTAAAACGGACTCACCCAATACATTGTGTTTCACTAATGTATAATTAATAAATATTATCATATAACAGGATTAATTACGATATATATTTTCATAATATCAACCTTTTGTAATTTATATTAGTGGAAAATTAGATATATAATTAATGGTGAAATTTACGTTTTGACAAATATTTCGTTCAACTTACAGAGTGGCACTATAATCATAAGTTCGATTGAGCTAGAGTTTCTCATCATGATCCGGATTTAGTTGAAATAATTGAAAGTCAGAGCTGTACATGTGAGAAAAAAAAGCCCTCAAGGTTTTTTAAACGTAAAATCAAAGGAAGACAAAATCAAGGTCCATTTCTTTACATACCCTACAACTTGATGCTGTTTATATTACTCGTTTCCTAGGTTCGAAAAAGCAAGCTCTTTAACAACTTTAATAAATACTTAATTGGGATACAATTGCACTTCATATATGTTTCAATTATATATACATACACTTGTAAATGTATCTATATCAAAGTTATTAAAATCGGGATTCTACTTTGAATCGGAAAGTGCTATCAGAATCGAATTGTAAAATCAAATCGTAGAATCGTAAAATTCTACCGACATGTATAATCAAGACTTCATATCTAAATTAAATTAATATATTGAAAGTATGAGTTTGAGACTTAATTATTGATAGAAAATAGTTGTTTACCAATAAGCAACCAATAATTGAAGATATATATATATTTATAAATAACTATATAGGCATGTTTTAAATTTGTAAGAATTTTTCTATTGAAAAGAAATATGTAAAATTAGGTAGAATTGTAAATTAAATTGTGTGACATACATAAATCGTAAGATCGTAAGATTCTAAGATTTAAATTGAGAATATTGAAAATTACACAATCTAATGTTGGGGGACTAAAAGTATAAATAATTATGTTGTATTCAACTAATTCTTGTAATAAAATTACAACAACAAAAATTCCCAAACGTAGCTTACCTGATGTGGGAAAAAAATTTCATAAAATTGATGATAATATCATAGATTCTTTATTATTTATTCCAAGTAGTGTACTTGTAAAATTATTTGATAGATGTTCTTTAATAATAGCTGATATTCTTTTTTTATAAATATATAAAATAATGTTCTTTTTGTTATAATTGATTGTTCTTTTTGTTAGTGTAATATGTCCTTTTCATATTTTGATGATGCTCTTTATATATTAATATACACCATGGTTAGCAAATACAATTGCAAAATTTTCCTTTGAATATGCATGACACCACATCTCTCTTAAATGTTAAGTTTAAAGTTAAAATGAATTTGGACGCAATTCTGAAAAACAGAGTTGCCGTGTCACGGCAGAAATGCCGCGCCACGGCAATCTTTGCCGTGACGCGGCAATTTTCTAGGGTTTCTCTACGATGCATTTCATTTCTATGTTTTCGTGCATCACCCTGCTCATTTCCTCTATAAATACGAGGTTGATTTCTCAGTTTCGGAGCACCAAATCATTCTCTCTTATGTTTTAGCCTAAACACTAGCCTTCCCTATTCTTTCACAATACATCCCTTAAGCACTCCCTGGAGTCCATACTTTACCCGTAGCTCTACGCTTAAACCAAGGCGTGAAAGGTAGAACTGTTTGAGGGTTTGGCCCCAAATCAACTCTATTTTACTTTAATTTAATTTTCATTGTTGTTTATTCTTTTTCATGAAGTTACTAACGCGTTTATTGTTTTATAGTTGCAAGCAAACACAATCAAACTAAGGAATCATGTTCCTTTTGTTCTTGTTATATTTCTAACGGTATTTGTTATGTTTTTCATATACTAATCGTTATTATTATGGTTAAATTGCTTTCAATGTCGATGTTATTTTTATTATATTTTTTACCACCATATTGCATGTTCAAGGGAATATGTAATTGAATATAACGCTTAATAAGATAATTTGGACGCCCGATTTAGGTTCCTTTTTTAATCTTATGTTTAATCAAGTGATCACAATATTTTAGAATTATATGTTGCATTAATATTCAACCAATTTAGCTTAATAATAGTTTGGAGGAAATTGAATCTTTGTTTGTGTGCCTTTGAGATTGCAGGAATACTTTTCGCAATAAGAATCGAGTAGAGGCCAACACAGGCGAATGTGACTCCATGACTCACTTCGTACCATCATCCCCGATCCTCCTTTTCTGGTTCCGAACCATATGGAGTTAGTAATCTCATGGATTATGAATGGGGTGTAACCTTCATAGGTCAATCGTTGTTGCCTATTGTTGTCCCTTTTCGTGGTTGCCTTCTAATGATCCGTGAACGGTTTACAAGTTCCTTAAAAACTTGTTGGCGGCTCCCTACTTTGTTTTGTCCCTAATCGTGTCCCTAATCGTATATGTCAATTCTCACTTCCTATGAGTTCCAAGCATATTCACAACATGCTAAAGTAGGCGCGCTTTGAATGCCGCCTACAATTTGGCGACTCCACTGGGGAGGATTCTTGGTTATTAATCGATTTGAGTGATCGGTATTTAATTTAGATGAGTGGATGAGACTTGAAAGATTCTTGAATCGTATTCCTATGATTAATTTGGTATTGTTGCATATGCATTGACGTTTTAACGTCGTATTTAGGTTCGCCTTGTAGGAAAAATCAAATAACCTGATCGCGATCGAAAAAATAAAGCACTTCTGCATTTTTATTTCTGCCGCGCAATGGCAAAATTGCAGTGACACGACACAGAGTACCGCGATGCGGCGTTCTGTACCGTGGCACCGCAATTCCTGCTGTGGCACGGCAGACCTAAAAACGCTCCAGTGGTTTTTTCTTTTTCTTGTAAAGAGCTTCCTTCAATTTTTCTGAAAAACCGTATGTGTGCTACTTACGTTTTAGCCCCGGGGGATTTAAGCTCTATCAACCCGGAAAAGTTCATGACAATAAGGATTCATCTGAGTTATTAAATCCACCCAAACCATGGAGTTGAGTTCGATTTCATCACAAACTTGTAGAGCCGCCCGTTGGCATACACCCTCAAGGGAGGCTGCCTTGCTAACGCGTCCAAACTCTTAACCATGGTACCCTTTTGACACCCAAATAATCTTGACCATAGTCGAACATAGAACTTGACATTAGGTTGCGAATTTCATTGCATCATTGTGACTACGTGTGCATCTTTGATTGTTTAATCCTAACATTAATGATCGTTCTTTGTCTATGGTGTTGGTTTATTTTGTTTAATTTACGACTAATGAATGCCAACGGACCGTACTCACTTAGTAATTATCGCAAACTCTAAAATTTAAAAAAAAATAAAAAATAAAAAATAAATTGGAAAAAACGCACAAAACAAAGCCTAGAACTACTTACCGTGTCACGACAAAGTTGTCGTGCCACGGCAAGCAATGCCGTGTCATGACAGTCTGTACCACACCACGGTATAGTCTGTCGTGCCACGACAGAAGTACCATGGCGTGGTACCCAGGGAATAGTCCAGTCAGCTCATATTCTAGTCTTCCGTGTTGTTTTGGTCCTCACGACAGTCGTTTTGTTTAGGGGTGGCAAACGGATCAGGTCAGGTCGGGTTCGTATTCGGGTTTTTGGGTTTCGGGTCAGCTAACCACCAACCTGAACTTGATCCATTTAAGTTTTCGAGTTGAAAACCCCAACCTGAACCTGATATTTCAGGTTCGGGTCAACCCGAAAACGACCTGATTTTTTATTTATTTTTTTTAAAAAAAAAAATTTTGACCTGAATAACCTGATTTATTAAGCCTGATTTTGAGTTTTTTTACTACTTAACAGTTAACAAAACCTGATTTTTTTTTACCTAATGTTTTCAAACATGATTTCCAAACTAAAGTTTTCAAGAAAACCAAATAAAAGTCTAACAAGTCTAAATGCCTAATTAATTATTACATAACAAAATAAAGTCTTAACAAATTACAAACCACAATGAAAAAGAAATAAATGTTTTTAAATAAAGCCTTCATGAATCAAACAATGTTCGAAGAACCATTCTCATCAAATTGTTCAAGTTTGGGTGAGGTACGAGGTGTGTCATCGTTGTCCCCCACCTTAAGCTTCATAATTAATCCACATAGCATTTCCATTGAGGATCCATATTTGCTACAAGAAAAAAGATAGCAAATTACAATCAATAATATATGACATGTACTAAAAATAAAAGTTAGAAGTATTGTATTACTTCATTACTTGTATATAAAATCATTTATTAACTTCCCCAAAGTCCCAATCCCTTAAGCAAATGATAGCCTCCACCGTTTCTGGTTTTAAAGAACTTCTATAACAATTAAGCACCCGACTTCCAATACGAAAAGCTGATTCGGAGGCCACGGTTAATACGGGGACAACAAGAACATCCTTGGCAATTTTAGCTATTATAGGATAACGGACCGAACAAGTTCTCCGATAAGACAAAATATCAAGGTTGGTGCCTCGAGGGATAAGTGGCTCCTCATAATACATATCAAGTTCAGATTTGATTGCCACACTTGATTGCTCCATAGAGAAACTATCAAAATCCTGTATACCAAGATTAGATTACAATTAGATGAGTAGCATGGCACAAAAAATCAGAAAATAAAAATCAGAATATAATACAATAAATTCAGATTATACAACTTGACAACCTGGCCATTGACAATCTGGCCCAAACCATCCAATTAGATCAGAAATATAGGATTACTAACCAGTAAATTTCAAACAATCTTATAATGATTGATATAACACTAGAAACATGAGTGTAGTAAAGTGAGAAAGCAGCCAGTCATGGTTTAGCATAAGATGAAACTTAAAGATGCAAACTAAAAGCTGCTGAGTCATATCAGGATTTGCTACTCAATCATTAAAACTTGGCATTTGTTTCACTTACTATAAAGGTCAACGCATTAGAAAGTTGTTTACCATCATAAAATCATCAGAAGCTTCATTGGCAGCATTAGTAGTGTGAATAGCTTTGCTTGATGAGGAATGAGAGGATTCATAAGCCTCGTACAACCTCCGTAGAGCATCCTTAACCTTAGAGAAATCAAGCTGATATTCAATACTATGTTGACCATATATCCTCATGTAACCCCAATTGACACATTGCAACTTATATCGTGGATCCAACACCACAGCAACAACCATAAATGTACTAAATTCTGACCAATATTTACCAAATTTCTCATACATCTTACAAGCCATTCTTTGGATAAAAAGATTTGAACTTTTCATTTCATTTTGTAACAACAACCTATCCTGCAAGACTCTATGAAAGTAGAGATTGGAAGTTGGATATTTGGTGCCGGAAAAGGCAAGTGTGACATCATGGAAAACTTTCAAAAACTTGCATATTTTCTCAACTCTACCCCATTCTTCTGCAGAAGGACAATGCACATAATTGGCATCAACTTTTTGAAAGTGAATTAAAGCTTTTTTAAAATACAAAGCACAATCAAGCATCATGTAAGTTGAATTCCATCAAGTAGGAATATCATGTTGTAAAATTCTAGTAGATTGAATTTCAACATGTGATACACAACTTAAAAACCTTTGTTTCCTAGCTTGTGAACTCTTACAATACTTGGCACTCTCTCTAATCTTATACACAGCCTCATCAATCTCTTTTAAACCATCTTGAACAATTAAATTAAGAATGTGAGCACAACACCTTACATGAAAAAATTCCCCACTACTAATCAACTAAAGTTCCCCTTTTAGATTTTCAGCAAAAACATCTTTTGAAGAAGCATTATCTAATGTAATTGAAAAAATATTTCTGAATACCCTATTCCTTTAACAAACCATACACATGATCACATAAATGAATTCCTGTATGGGGAGGACTAATGTAAGAAAAGTTTAAGATCTTTTTTGCAAACACCAAGACTTATCAACATAATGAGCTGTTAATGAAATATAACCATCAGTGGTTATAGAAGTCCAACAATCAGAAGTCAATGCAATTCTACTACAAGTTAAGCCCAACACCGCTTTTAATTTCTCTTTCTCTCTTTTATACATCTTAAGCACATCAGATTTGATAGTTTTTCGCGTGACAGGTTTGAAACCAGAATGCAAATAATTAAAACATCTCCTAAAACCCCTGAACTCTACAAACTGAAATGGCATATCAGGCTCCACAATAGCAAGAGATAATAATTCACGGAAATAATCAGCATCAAAATTAGGCAATCTATTTCCTAAACTAGAGGACGTTTTCTCTAATACCATTTGACCAACATCCCTAAAAGACCTTTGTTTACATTTTTTCAAATGACGATGAAGATTCCCAGTTCCATTCTTACTAGCACCATTAAAACGTAAACCACACTTTTTACATTTGCAAATTAGATTACCATTTTCATCAGGCTCGTCTAAAAAATCAAAATGGCACCCAAACACCAGAAGAAAGCCAACGTTGACGTTTCTTACCAGTAAGAATCACATGAGGTTTATCAGAAGAAGTTTGCTGGTTTTTACCCTTTCCTTTGTCTTTTATTGTAGAGTCAATCTCCTCCTCTTCCCCGGAAGAAAGCTGTTGAACATAGGTGTCCATTATTTCTGCCAAAAATTATAACAAAATAAAACATTTAAAACAAGAGACAAAAACTGATCTAGTAGTAATTAGTAAATGACTAGTAATACAAATATACTTGTCAACAACAACAAGCTAGGCTGTTATATGAACAATAGAACAAGAACAACAATATAAATTAAAAATAAAACCTAAAAATCGAGAATAGATAACAAAAATTATGTGAACAATATAAATTAAACCTAAAAATCAGAAATTATATGACCAAGAACAACAATATAAATTAAAAATTACATGAATAACAATATAAATCAGAATTATATGGACAACAATATAAATCAGAACTAAAAATCAAAAAAAAAAAAAATCTCATGCAAAATACCCTTTCCCGTCAAACAACAAATCAGCAAAAGATGGTCTTACAGATCTACCCTTTTCCCGTTAAAAAAAAAAAAAAAAAAAAAAAAAAAAAAATCAACAATAGAAATTAACAACAAAAAATTTAGTCATATTAAGATTATTATCAAGCAAGAACAACAACAAAAATCAAATACAAAAACTGTATTAAAAAAAACAAAAACAAAAACAATTAACAGAAAATTACCTTTGAGCTTTGACGGCTTGAAGGAGAGGAAGATTTGAAGATGGAGAACTGGAGATTGAAAGCAAAAATCGAGAAGAACTTCAGAACTTAGAGATCGAAAAAAAACGAAACAAAAACAAAAACAAAAAAAATTAACAAAAAATTACCTTTGAGAGTATGAGACGTTGAGCTAATGAGTTTGAGAGTTGAGAACTTGAGAGTTCTTATGAGATGAGAAATTGAGAATGGAGAATTCAGAGAGACGGAGAAGCAGAGAAGTGAGACTATGACTCTGTGAGAGAACGAAAGAATTGAGGAGAGAGAAAATGTGAAAAGATGAGAAGGAGTGAAAAGTTGAAAACAGTTGTTTAGGTTTTTAAGCTTTTAAGTTTTCACTCTTTAAGCTTTCAATTTGGGCTTGGGCCAAGTATTATTTTTTTTTCAAAATACTTTTTTCGAGTTATAAGGTCGGGTTCGGGTTGACCCGATCTGATTTTGACCCGAAAATAATTTCGGGTTACGTGGGTCATTTTCGGGTTGAAATTTTCAACCTTTACCTAACCCATTTAATTTCGGGTCGGGTTCGTGTCAACCCATTTAAGTTTTCGTGTCGAAATTCTCAACCCTAACCCGCTATTTTCGGGTCGGGTTCGTGTCGGGTTTTCGGGTCGGGTCAGTTTTTGCCACCCCTAGTTTTGTTATTGTTTACATGTCTAGCCATGCGATCATACCACGAGTCATATAACATCACCTAATCACTCACGAGTCAAGTGTACAGTCCACACACTTTATTTTTCGACTCGAGTTGTGCACCATGTCATTTATGATCATATACTAGGTTCATGCATGCGTCCCTTTTTTCGACATAATAAAAATGAGTGGAATTTTTCTCACCTGTTTTCAAATGTCTATCTATCCCCTTTTCTTTCCTATTTTAAGCAGTGAGTCAAACCATTAAGTGAATTTGTTTTATTTCATAGTACATGGTCAAGGAGCAGGGGTAGATTGGTGCGGTTCGAGTCACTACCACAACAACCTCTTAGACCTAAGAGGCATTCAAAGAAAACTTCACAATCTCCACATCAGCCATCTCCTTCAAACTACTTTCAATACATTCCAATAGCCACAAAAGAAGATATTGAGTGCACTCATAAATCCATCGAGGCACTTTCTGCCATGATGCAAATCCTTACCACCAAGGTCAATACCATGGAACAAACCAAAGTCACTGTTGCAACAGTTGACAAGATTAAAGAACAAATGAGCAAAATTTCTGAAGATTTCACCTACGTAGAACAACCTTCCACTGCATGGACTGTGAAGGAGAAACTCCCTGAAAAGTTCTCCACTACTGACATACCCAAGTTCAAACCTACTGATTACCCAATATTCCATTTGAAGGCTTTCTCTGCAACCATGCACTAGTAGAAAAAACATCAAATGCTCCGGTCAAAATAGACATATATGCTCCGAATTTGAACCGCATCAATAGTGGACATAGCAGATTACGGGTTGAAAACGCTCTGAATCAAAACTGGAGCATAAACTAAGAAAAGGCTTCGGTCCAGCTTCAAACCTGGAGCATATAACCAACTTAATGCTCTGGTTCTGTTAAAAAAAATCGGAGCAATTTCATGAGTTATTGCTCAGATTTTATAATATATATATATATATATATTGAATTTTTTTACGTTCTCAAGGCATTCAAATACAATTAAGCAAACCTGTCTCGTACTTCATTTATCTCGCTAGCACTAAAGGGCTCGAGCCTTTGGGTCTTATAAACCTAAAACAAGCGAAATCAATATAAAAGACAATTATAATCACAATTTAATAAAAATATAAGAGTTAAAATCATGAAAAATGGGCAAGTTAGAAGTCATTTTGGACCATTATTAATACTCTAAATGAACATAAAACTTGAAAATTTAGTTTTTTTTTATGTTTTTTCAAGTCATAAATATTCATAACTAAGTATCTTAGGTGTATTACAACTGTTAATTCAACCTTTGAGCTAAAATCATAAAAAATGGGCAAGTTAGAACTCATTTAGGCCATTTTGAACCATAAATATTCTAAATGAACCTAAAACTTGTAAATTTGCTAATATTTTTTTTTGTTATTGTTGTTTCAAGCCATATATATTCATAACTAAGTTTCTTAGGTGTATTATAGGTGTTAATTCAAGTATTGAGCTAAAATCATGAAAAATAGGCAAGTTAGAAGTCATTTTGGCCATTTTGAACCATTAACACTCTAATTGAACCTAAAACTTGTAAAATTGCTTCTTTTTTTTTTTTGTATTTTATATATTGTTTCAAGCCATAAATATTCATAACTAAGTATCTTAGGTGTATTACAGGTGTTAATTCAAGCATTGAGCTAAAATCATGAAAAATGGGCAAGTTAGAAGTCATTTTGGCCATTTTGAACCATTAACACTCTAAATGAACCTAAAACTTGTAAACTTGATTTTTTATGTTGTTTCAAGCCATAAATATGCATAACAAAGTATTTTAGGTGTATTACAGGTGTGTTAATTCAATCATTGAGCTAAAATCATGAAAAATGGGTAAGTTAGAAGTCATTTTGGCCATTTTGAACCATTAACACTCTAAATGAACCTAAAACTTGTAAATTTGCTTTTTTTTATGTTGTTTCAAGACATAAATATTCATATCTAAGTATCTTAGGTGTATTATAGGTGTTAATTCAAGCATTGAGCTAAAATCATGAAAAATGGGCAAGTTAGAACTCATTTAGGCCATTTTGAAACATTAATTCTCTAAATGAACCTAAAACTTGTAAAATTGCTTTTTTTTTCTATGTTGTTTCAAGCCATAAATATTCATAACTAAGTTTCTTAGGTGTATTATAGGTGTTAATTCAAGCATTGAGCTAACATCATGAAAAATGGGCAAATTAGAAGTCATTTAGGCCATTTTGAACTATTAATACTCTAACTGAACCTAAAACTTGTAAATTTGCGTTTTTTTTATGTCATTTCAACCCATAAATATTCATAACTAAGTATCTTAGGTGTATTATAGCTGTTAATTCAAGCGTTGAGCTAAAAGCATGAAAAATGGGCAAGTTAGAACACATTTAGGCCGTTTTGAACCATTAATACTCTAAATGAATATAAAAATATTATAAATAGTACTTACTTGCTCTATATCTTCCACTGAAGTGCAGCATTTGACTATATCATACATGTATCTCATCACGTAATAGCCACATTCAACACCACCCTTTTGTTGTGCACACTATCATTTAATTTACATATAAAATAAAATTAATATAAGTATATATTTCTTATTGCTTATTTTTTCCTTTTGATATTAAGATGTTATCATTTACCTTCATTATTTTCCAAATAGGGATTGATTCCCTTCTTAGCCCACTTCCACTAATTTTCTTCATTTGACTACAAAAGCAACACATAAAACATCACATAAGACCACGCATTTTTGCCTTATAATAGTAAGAGATTAATCTTCTAAGGTATGTAAGTGTATACCTATTTAGATGTGTTCTAATCAATACCAGTCTTGGTGTGTGTAACACCCTAGAAATTCCTTTCCGTTAAAATGCCTATTTTACCCTTTTTAAAATACGAAATAGGAAAATCTAAGACATTACCGCCACCATGAAAACAGCTGAGGCAAATATCAAAGACACACAGCGAAAGACTATCCTTTAAAAACTCAAATGAAATAAAGTTTAATAAAATCAGCCCTCAAAACGAAAGTAAATATAAACATTAATTAATGTTAATGTCAACAATTATATAAATAATTTAATACAATAAATAATAAACAAAGAAACATGAAACCCTCTTCGCTCAACCCCATCATGCTTCATATGCTTCATCATCTGAATGCTTTTCTCTACTTGTCCCCACTACTCGCCATTAGAAATGGTTCGTCGTAGGGCCAAGGTAAAGACAAAGCCAAACAAACATACAATCAGCAATGCTAAGTACATAAGCGTAATAAAACACACTAACATTCTTTCATCCTATCAACACACAACTTACCTTGTTGCACCTGTTCACAAGCATACAAGACACCTAACACCTAACTAGACAAATACTAATGTTCATTTAATTTG